CATTGTCTGATAATATTGAGCCTAATATTTATAAGGGTTTCTCTTCCCACTCTTAGTGATGAAGAGCCACGCTATATAAACCTAAAATTTCCCTTCTTAAATTTGGAAATATATTTTCGGACGCACCCCAGTTACACCAAATCCATGGGTAAGTGAGACACACCATAATTTAGCCAGAAATGAATTCAGATATGCATCTCCGTAATAAGCTCGTATGCACCTCATCCATTTGTAAGTGACTTACACCCTCATTTTGGCATAAATTAGTTCAAAGATGCATCTCCGTAGTAAAATACAAAAATATACTTCCATAATCACTCTTTAGGCAGTAAAATTTGATATTTTTAAAGATATACACTGATGAAATAGGCCATATATGATAAATATACTATCATAATAAATTTTTTATCAATTAAATCATACACTGATATATTAAGATTCAAATTTCATATATTAGAATCAATCCATAATCCATTATACTATCAAGATGACAAATTACAAAACCATAATATATCAAAATGACAAATTACAAAACCATAATACTATCCATAATCCATAATACAAATACTATCAAATACTACTGGGTATATCAGACTCATTATTTCTTATATGCTTCCTATATTGCAATGTAAGTTGTACCTTAGATAAAATGACATCTATATTGGCCATCCCGTAAATGCCTATGAGAAAGTCTTTTCTCTCTATACCCGCCCGCGCAATAGCCTATATACGATAACATGCAGGTAACACACCAAAGACATTATATGTTCTAGTCTGGTCATCCTCTAATATCTCATGATGATCTGATCTATGTGGATCTCCGTGAGAATCTGGTGTCATGTAAGGATGTGACACTCTGAAATGCCATTGGAAGTAGCTGAATGCACTATTCCATATTAGCTGACACACTTCGTATTTCATTTGATACCAGATGATTAGAGAAATCATCATAAATCACATTTATATCTCTGTGGATCATAGTGAGAGAAATACACATAAATGGGTCTCTTGGAACAACCTGTAGATACCCAGAGTGGCGCATGACTCGCTCACGTAGACGTGGATACATCAGTCGTGACCCATAAGTCAATCATCTAGATTATAAGGATATGTCATCCAAGGGACGCATCTAATGATGACCATTTTACGGTTGAAAGTGTGTATCATCTGCTGCAATGTAGTAAAAAACACTCTAAAAAGCTCGATCGACTGACGCTTTCTAAGTAGGATGAATGCACAAGCACATGACTGATCCTCAATGTATCCATCAACACATGACCATATGGAGATGCGTGGAAAGTCTTGGAGAATCCATGTATAAAAATATTACAAATGAACTATTAGTAATGGTGTAACACAAGTGTTATGAAAATGGTACAATAATAGTAAAGGTGCAAATATATTACCGTAAACAACATGCAACTAAATGTCACTTGTTTAGTTTTCCAAAGATAAACTTCAAGTAACTTTGAGTACATGTAAATAAAATAAATGACCCCTAAGTTGTACTCACGAATGCACTCGAAGTCAATGAAGCATTTGAGGTAAACCACATCGACGTAATATGAACTTCTGTCCACAAAGATGGACGTTTCAACCAAGTACATGAGATATGACCTTAATGCACATGCTTTATGATGCATAACTTATGCATCATCACCATTGGTCTCCACCGCCACAATCATGTGGTGTACATACAACTTCTTCTAAAATGTAGATCTAGCTTGACATTCTTCGGTGTTTTCCAGCTCCTTTTGGGAATTCTCTAGGTCAACTCCCAAATAGGCCACTATAATATCCAGTGCATCAGGCCTGGTCATCTTGGAATGGTCTAATAATATTTCTCTTATTGGAAAATGTAATAAGAATGCTACATCATGCAGTATGATGGACATCTCACCATGCGAAAGATGAAAATATGACGTCTCTGAGTGCCACCTCTTAATGAAAGCTGGTAGCATACCATGATTAATAATAGTATAACAAGTCATGGATAAATATTAATACCCATATATTTGTATAGCATCATAAAACCACTACTTCTCAGACTGATGAAGCCTCGCAACCTTCCTACCATGGGTGATGTATTTTAAAGCATCATGGCACTGCAAAAATACACCATCGTTAGAAAGTTCGAATATTATAACACATATTTTTCAAAGAATAAATGCAAATAAATTTTACCTCCCTATTCCATACGTGTCTAACTGCATGGTATGCATGCAGAGACAATAATGAAGTGTCATATGAGCCTCCTCCAAATTTCTCAAGGACAACAACATTAACAGCAAATGCATCAACCTAGACTAGTAGGGTTTACGGGGAAGCAACAGGTGACATTTGTCTCCTAGAAGACGGAGTCAGAGACACCTGAACCAGAAAAATTGACTCTTTTGAATCAAAGGAACTGACATCATTCGGTGGTTGCGAAAGTCAGACTTTCTCCATGCGAACAGATACATGCTGGGACACCCTACCATGCCTTAATTGTTCTTGATTTTTATCCATGTTACCTATAATTCAAGTAGACAAACTAAATAAAGAAGAAAAAAATCAAACTCAAATGAGAGACATTTAAAATCAAACCAAACAATTTCGACATAGATAATACGAAAGTGCACTTATGTATCTCTTGAAAAATGAAATTATAAACAAATACGAAAGTGCACTTCCGTTTTTTTGAAAAATCAAATTCTACAAAAACACAAAAGTGCACTTTCGTAGTTTTCCGCAATTTAGAAAAACAACAATGACAGAAACGTAGGGAAACAAAAAATGATACAAAACACACTGCTTGGTAAACAACCTAACAATGACTATAACTACCTATATAGTAATGTTTCTTACACAACCTAATATTCCTACTTCGTAATGCATGTAGAGAAAGAGCGAGAAAAATAGGGATTAAATTTTTTATCAAATGTGTAGTTGAAATTGAATCATTAAAATTGAATGGATGTTGAGAACCACTTGAGTTGAATGGAGTAGAAAATCACTTGAATTAAATAGAGAAGCATGATAAGTGATTTAGAGAGATTTTGCTAAAAATGCAAAATGGAGGAATTCATATTTTTATAAGTTGTTACCAAGATATATTTTTATAAGTTGTTGCGAAGATGTATTATATTATTATTATTATTATTATTATTATTATTATTATTATTATTATTATTATTATTATTATTATTATTATTATTATTATTATTATTATTATTATTATTATTTATTTTTATTTTTTCAAAATGAAAGTAAGAGTCACTTATAAAAAGATGTGGTGTGGAATTGAGTGCGTCCAAAGCGCATTTCTAAATTTTAAAGATATTTTTTATGCATCTCTAAATTTTAAAAATATTTTTTATTTTTTACCGGGACACGGGAATACCAAAATAATATCCTATTTATATCGAGGTGGTTCTAGATCAGCTTATAAGTAAGAAGGTTTATTCTAAGAAGAGGGGAGAATGAAAACTAATTTGTTACATAAAAAGGTTTATTCTAAGAAGAGGGGAGAGTGAAAATTAATTTGTTACATGACATAGAAGTTTTAGTGTTATATATGAGTTATAGGAGTTATATGCAGGCAAGAATAATATAACAGTTTGAGAGTGCGTAGAGAGTCTACCATATAGATTTTCTCACTTCTTTGTCATTGTTAAAATATAATTAAATAGAATCTCTAATTATTTTTTCATGATTAAACCATGACTAAACTACACAATTCTTTGTCAATGTTAAAATATGATTAAATAGAATCTCTAATTGTTTTTTCATGATTAAACCATAACTAAACTACACAATATCTCCAAATACTTGAGACAACTATTTGTGTTTACTAAGGATACATAACTATTCCTTGGTAGGAGCATTTTGTCTCTGGTTTATTTGTTTGTAAACTAAAAGTGGCAATGAAATTCATTTAGATAATATTCATCCAATTCATCCAATAATTTATCCATCCAATCCATCCATAAGACAAAAAAATGATTTAATGGGTTTGATCTAATCCATCCACTAATTCATATGGATGGATTCAATCCATTCATCTCATTTTATAAATCCATTGAATATTATGTTGTAACTTATTAAATTAAAAATATTAATTTTTTTTGTGAAATTTAAATTTTTTTACGAAATTTAAAAAATAATTTAAAATATTTAAATTATGTTTCTATAAAATTTAAAAAATAATTAAGAATTTTTAAATTAATTTTTTGGATGGATGAATATTCATCCATTAGAAATATGTTAATGGATAGATTGGATGTATTTTATCTTTTAATGAATGGATTGGATTGAATTTTTATTAAAAGAGTTTAGTGGATTGTTAATGGATTAATAGATTGTTTTGATCCATCCATTAACAATCCAATCTATATCTATCAAATCCATTCATTTTACCACCCCTATTGTAAACACCATATTCTCATTAATTCTTGAGTTTCTATAGGATTTTCACATTAAACTACCATGGACAATCTGCATGTATAATACATAAAACTGTCAGAAAGTTGGAAGTATATACTCATTTATTGGAAAGGATTTGTGGAGGTTTAAGATATTAGACTTGCCAAGGTTACGATAACACGAAATATCTTCAAAATGTAGCTTAAAACTTGTTGAATCCATTTCAGAATACACCTTATCAACCAAAAAGGTCCCCGTAGCATTGTTCCCAAGGTGTACTTACCCGACCGTACTCTGTCATTTTAGTAGTGGAAGAAATTCTAAACTAATTGCAACTCTCAAACATAGTTTTCAAATTAGGTGAGTCGTATAGAATCAGTATATATGGTCTATTCAGCAATCTGCATGCTCATTACCAAACATAGTATAACTAGTATATGTAGTATAACTGTCTTCCAAAACATATGTTGAAGTATAGGAATTCTATATAATCCAAACCCTAGTGCTTTGAAGTTTCTTTCTCTTTTTTCTCGAAGCAGTGCTTATAGGTTTTATAAAACTAAAGGAGAAATTTTATATTCGTGACAGTAAACCCCCTAATGATAACCAAGAGGAGCCGGCGCATCTCGCAGTTCTTTACCGTGGAAGTGGATATCCTGCATGAAAGAAAAAGAGTCGCTTTAGAAAAAACAGGAAACACCAATGCCCAGTATTTTTATCAATAAGAGGGGGGAAAACAATGTACGACGTTTGAGATAAAAGACATGGTAAATCAGGTAACCTGTGTTTCAAAACAACTATGAATCAGCCACTTTCTTTAAACTAAGTTTTCAACAAAAAAAAACTCAGAACTTTCCATGAGAACAAATCAAACCACAAAATGTATCTTACTCTTAAAGTCAAGGTGGTTACAATTTTCTTTTCTTGCAAAAGCAAAATGGAATATATTACTGATATGCACAAGATGTTCAGAATGTCTTACAAGCAACCTCCAAAGAGATTCAATACGCACAAAAAAATCCAATTGGATCTTGGCATTCTTCCAGAAGCTTCTCCCTCAAGAAACATCCACTGATATGGTATGGGCATCAAATTGCACAAAAAAAAATCCAATTGGATCTTGGCATTCTTCCAGAAGCTTCTCCCTCAAGAAACATCCACTGATATGGTATGGGCATCAAATTGGCTGCAATTATCTCCATAATTTCCCCTATGGCCAAAACATATTAAACCCCCATATATGCTCGGACATCCCTTCATAAACCTCCTCCACAACCTCTGCAAGAAGGCAAAAATCAAGCCAATATGAACATGGAACCAACTGCCTAAACTAAACCTACTGCATCTACATGCTGGTCGGGGTGAAACAGCATTTATTAAAGCATATTGATCAATCCGTCTTAGAATTTGGGTTGGTCCTAAGCCCAATATTAGGCATATGAAGCATGACGTGAGTGATCCGATAGCAAATGGCTCAACGGATCTTGGATAAGCTTAGATTCCATCTTAGAGTTTGAATTGGGTCTAATTGAACTCTTACAAACCGACTTATAATGTAAGGACTGTCCACCACTTATATAAGTACAGTTTTAGGTCATATCCCGTCTAATGTGGGACTCTTACCAAACATCTCATTGCCCTTGCATCTAAAGATAGTGTTTCCATCCTCCCTTTCACAACTTCAATGTCTCATTCATCTTTACCACTAAAGCAGCTCCCAATTATCCCAACACCAACAACTAGCATATGACATTTCTCATATTACCCTTCTTATGTCCCAACTGTACTTAAGAAAACAACACCCGCGGCAGTGGATTACAACTAACAGCTTTGATTGAAATTCATGATGTCGCCAACTAGCCTGCAGATCACCTTATTATACATCGTTCACTTCTTTTTAATTGTTGTTTTGATGTTAATTACACATACTAAGAGAACTCATAAATTCTGTTACTTTTCATGAAATTATTTGTATTTTGTCTATATATACCCTTCACTGTTTATTATCCCAATTACTTTTTTTCTTTCTGCAATAAATAGTTAGGGATAATTCTAACCAAACGGTAATTAATACTAGTTTGAACTTTGAAAACTACACTAAAACGGAACGAAATTCCCAAAATAATAACACTTGTAAAGGAACAAAGGAAGTAATAAACATAAGGCATAGCACACGTTATACTTTGACTACACAAATAGTACAAGTGCATAACATAAGCTCATCAGACCTTTTTTTTCCTTACCTCAGCAAACTCTGAATAGTGGGATCTTGGAAATGAAAAAAAATCCCACCCATTCAACCTGAAGAAATTTTAGTAGATTGCAACCTTGAGGACAAGGTTGCTTTGAGGAAGGAAGTATTGTTAGGGTATAGAATAAAGAGAAATTGTAGTAAAAGTAGTTATGAATTGTTAAAGTAATTAGTTAGCTAGTTTGTTAATCGTTTAGTTAGGTTGTTTTTCTATTTTAAGTTGGTTCCTTGTGATCTTTTGTCCCTTTCTCTTGTATAGGAAGTCTATATATAAAGACTTGCATTACATTAGAAATGATCTTTGGCATATCTTAGTTTTGATTGGTTTTATTACCAGTGTAAGAGAGCTTGCTCTCTTTACTATTTCCTAGTTTTTAATGAAGTGTTCTTTCTTTGGAATCTAATCCTCAGGTTCCTAACACCACACCCATTTGTCTATTGAGTACCCCTCGAAGCCCTCAAGGTTGATCAAATGTAAATTCACTAACACTCGCAATGAAATAATTCTCTCCTCCAACTTCAATTCCAATTCCTTCACCCATCTTGGCACTTGTTCCATAGTGGCATCATTCTCTGTTGTTATTTGAAATAACCTTGTAAACTTCTCTTTTAGAGACTCTCCTTGCCCTAATCATTTCACTTCAAAATAATATAGCAATTAGAAATCCCCTCCCCTGCTACTTTCCCAAGCTTACTAGAGAACCATCTCTTTTGACTCTCCTCATCCCCCAGGTAGTTACAATTTCTAACCTCCCTCCAAGTTGGGATATAAAACTTCATTATGTGGGAAAAGTGAACAATTAAATGTATACCGATTTCTGTCTATTTGACTCCATATGCAGCTCTTTGTACAGTCTTTAGCGACACAGCCTACACTTTGAAAATCTAGGCAGTACATATCAGGAAATATGGGGGTGGCCATATGGTTTCTGTCAGATTATTATTCTGTGTATATTACCTTACATCAATCCTTAATTGTACACGTTACATGTTTTGTTTTTCAAAGAAAAAATGATTCAGTATGTATTTCCAAGTTCAAGAGGATAATGAAATGAAAGAAGCACAAAAACAAATATACCATAAACACAAACTTAAGATGATAAGTTAGTGGGTGGACTTGAACAAGCAAAGTTTTGTGAAGAAATTTTTTTTTTTTCATTAGACAAGTGAGAAGGAACACTCACCGAAGCAAAATGGTTAACATCTCGATGGTGAGCCTCATCGGCACGAATGACTGTTATAACATCTTTCAATTTGGCATCCTTGGGAAGCCTCCAATAGTCTATTGCAATGGCAGGAGCCGGAACATTTTCAACTGCACCGCTATTAATGTCTTTTAAATACTCGGTGTAGGAATGTATAGCTTCCTCCTCAAGGTACCCAACAACTCTATGAGCCAGCTTTGGTGAGACTATGTAAACTACAAAGAATGCATTGAAGAAAACTCCCTGTACAGCAAGAACCAGCAGTCTTTCATACCACTTTGGTTTCACAAGTTCTACCATAGTCATTAGGTGCATCCTCTCATTCTCTGCTTCTTCAAGCAATGCTTTGATCCAACCACCACTATGCTGAAATTTACGAAGTGACCTGAGGTGCAACAGCATCCCTCCAACCATTCCAGGGACAGCTGCTACTGTTTCAAGCATCATTGCACGACAACCATACTGCCTCTGAAAATACACATAGATTATGATGAATAGCAATTGAGACAACATCCATGGCGCGTATCCCCACGAATTAAAAAATCGAATATACCAGATTACTTGTTACCAATAGCCAAAACAAAAGCAGACATTTTTTTTGTACAACAAAGTATAAAAGTAAACATCTTCCTTTGACAGAAGTGAGACTAATTTCTGTGTTCAAAGTTCAAACCAAGTGGTAGTTGAACAGTTCTAAACTAAACAAACCAACATTACTCAAGAACAAGTGAATTTCAAATGTATCACCTCTTTTCAGAAATTATAACCTCTCTTTATTTTATCTTTTGCTATGAATCATATTGTAGAATATTTCAAAATCAAGTGCTATATTACACACCTTAAAAAACAAATCTGTGGGAATTCTGAGGAGCTTCACCGTCCTGTAAGCAACTTTATCCAGGAAAGTTTTCGGCACATGATGCTTATTCAGATCAATGGACAGGTTTGATTCATAAGTTTCCCACGGCTACAAACTCAAAATAAATAATGCCGGTGAGCATTCAAAGAAAAAAAGCACAGGCCGAATCAACCAGTTAAATAGCCATAACACTACAATCAACAATGAAATTTCGTCTCATGAGTCAAATTCCGCATAAGAAATCATGAATTAGTGAAGGAAAAAAACAAAGCAAAGCAAAGAAATTCAATTCACAAAACCCTTACCATGAAGCAGTTCCAAGGCCACTCCGTCCCATCCTCTCTGGTAATCTTCGGCCTCGAAATTCCCCAATAACTCGACACCACCTTGTTATTCTTTGTTCCAGAACTCTCCTTATCACTCTTCTCCTTCCCCGTCGACTTAGCCTCCGCCTCTCCCGTCGGTGGTATTGCTGCTTGCGAAGCCATCATCCTCTTCCAATAAAAGAAACCACCGTTTCCACCATCGGCACAGAGGTTCATCTGTCTCATTTCTGCTGCCACGGATGGCCTCACAACTGCCGCACCGTGACGGTTACAGTTCCGGCCATTGATCAGAGCTCGTCGAACCAAATAGCATAATGCTGAATGCTTCATCTTAATGGATCACGTTTTGCAAAGTTCCCAACTAATCTGGAATTAATTACGGTTACTGAAGAAGCATGGCGGTTATATATGTGGTCCCACATTTACACGCATGTCTCGTGATGATTGGTTAGAGACGCTTTTCGCCGTTGATTGACTGGGTTAGAAATGTGATCGACGGTTGCAATGAAGGGAAATGAATGGAGGGAATTTGACGTGCAATAAAGCGCGTGGTTTTTGGATAAGAATATGTTACGAGCATCAGCATAGCATAGTATATACTTGGAGTAAGGCGGTTAGAGAGGGATCGGATTTGATGCGGCGGAGATAAATGGGTCTCGGTATAGTCAAATCGGTGCAGGATAGTTTTTGTTGCTGTTTAACTATGACCGTTGGATCTAGAGAATAATAATATAGCTAATGGGTTGGCTATCACTAGTAGAAAATTGAATTGCATTTTCCAGCATTCAAAAAATGTATTTACCTTTTATTTATAATTTGAAAAATATCAATTTTTTGTGGAAATTTATAAAACAAAGGTTTTGTAATTTATGAGTTTTAGACTCACTTAAACACAAATTTAAATAATGAGGAGAATTAACAAATCTAAAGAACAAAAGAAGTCTTGTATAATCATTAAAGAAGAATATATAATAAGAAAAGAGATGGATGAGAATGTTTAAAAAGAACAATAGAATTAACAAATCTTAGCCACAACTTGGCCCCCTCTATTAACAACTCGGCAATCAACTTGGATGACTATAATTTTGACCACATTTAATATTGAAACGATCATACTGACTATCAATCCGATACATGTTTATAACCATGACCATGATCTCGACCACTTCTATATGAATTCGTCAAAACTATTACAGACTTCAAATGTGGCATTGACTACGAAGATATAGTGGTTTCCTATAAAAACATCCTCGTACATGATAGGAAGATGATTATTGTATATCTATGTGCATGCAAGTATTATCTATATGATCTAAGGTAGTGAAGTTCGTTGATAACAAAGTTATAATCAAATGTTTAACTCTTTGGTATTGATGATGACAACAATTGATATCAAACGATATCCAGTAAAAATCCATATTGATTGAAGATAGCTCAAGCGATCGAAAATGCTCAAGATGTTCTATCAAGTTGTCCTCTTGAATCAAGCTATCATTTTAAAGATATTCTTAAAGTCAACATTATGGTTATCAAACAACATTTAAGTGAAGAATTATGTTTCAAAGTTCGTCAGTGGTTTGACCTCTCAACTCTTAAGTGATGTTAATCAACTTGAAGATATCTCAAGGCTCATCAAACTAGAATATTCAAGGTTCTTATGTGATACTAAACTCAAAGATGATGTCAAGACCTTAAAATTCAGAGTTGTGAAAACTCATCTGGTCGTATTAGTCATGGTGAGTATTTCTGAAAATACAATGGCAAAATCCAACACACGCTAATAATCTTGAGAAGCCTTCCATATTCTATTTAAACCACTTGAAAATGTTTTAAGGCATGCCCAACTGATTAATGGAGCGTCTAATTGATTGAAAGATTTTTTCCAATTGAATAATCGATTAGACCTAATCATCTAATCGATTATTTTCACTAGGTTAAGTATAAAATCAATTAGGACAGTACCTTAATGATTAGTAACAACTAAATATCAAATCCTTACATTTGTTGCTTGAACAATAAATTATTATGGGTCAATAATTGATTGACATAATCATTTAGGCGAGTTATTTCGCCCAAGGATTGTTTCCAAATTTAAATAACAACCTGGCCTATAAATAAAGAGATTTATATCATTTTGTACCATCTAAAAAATGAGTTTTTGTCTCACTTTTTCTTCTCTCATCATTTTCAATAAATCTTTGAATTTCTTATCATATTTATTTAGCCATGGTGCTTGGAGAGTATTCTTGTGTCTAAGTGAGGATCAATGTTAGAGGTAAGGGTTTAACTGTAATTTTCCAATAGTGTATTATCTCTTGAGTAAATATCCATCTATGTTGTTCATTTTTAGATTTGCTGCATTATGCAAAACAACATAGTATGTTCAAGTTGTCTTGTGAAGAAAGAACGCATGTGGGAACAGATGTCCTAGCATGTGTGCAAAGTTGCTTTTATGAAGGAAGAACACATGTGAGAACAGATGTCTCAGCATGTGTGCAACATCTAGCCATTTTCAGTAAGTTAATGTTGTAGCTATTCTGCGTGTGTTTTTCAAATTGTTTCAATTAGATTCGTTGTATCTTGCTTACTATCTTTTAGCAATGCATTTATATGGATTTGTTTTATTGGATTAGACGTGATCAAATCAATTCAAATGGAAATTTAAAATTGAATTTGAATAAAAAATAAATTATACCTTTTGGAGGCTTTTGTGGAACAAACCAAAACAACATCTCCTATATTCCTAGACGAGATCAAAGTTGCTTATGCCCATTGAAAAAAGCCCAGAAGAAGCATTGATATTTAAGGAGACTTAAACCCAATGTTTGAGCACGTGTGTAAGGATTGAAGGTACCTAGTATTAGGGTATATTTGAGTCCTTTTTTGTGTTGATTGTACAACACGTTGGCGTCCTCATTCATATCATAAGGCATAATGTTGGTTTTTTAGTTAAGTTACAATTCTAAATTATATAATTTATTTATTGAAGGAACAATCACTTGGGGTTAGTGATTAAAAATAAGTGAAAGGGGTTCTCATATTTAAGGGGAGACATAAATAGAAAGTCACTAGGATTAAGAATATGAATTGAACAACATGGGGTTGTTGTTCGTATAAGACTAATTATACTAATTCAAAATAGTGAATTTCCTTTTTTGAATAAAGCGCTCCCCGTACGTAGGTGTGCTTTCACCGAACTGGGTTAACAATCTTGATAACTCTTAACTTATTCGACATATTCTGTAAATTGCCAACAACACTTATATCTACTAATTCTAATAGTGGGTGTTGCACCCCAAAATTTGCCCACCCTTTTTCTAACTTTGACTGTCTTTTGTTTCGCATTTCATTTGCATCGTCATTAGTTCATAATCATACTCTGCATTAGTCTTCTAAGACATGAGATCAAGTGTTTTCTCTGAATCAGATTATCATGTATCAATCTTACATTCTTCAAGATTGGTCAGGCATCAGGAGTCCTTGGGCTCAAGTTTGTTGGCAATCCTATATTCAGCAGGCTCAGGATCAGGGTTTATTTCTCATCATGAATAGTTGATCAAGGTTATCAAGGATGATGGTATGGTTTTAAGGCAAGCAGGGTTGATTCAGTTATATGTACCATTATCAGATGGATGTGCGGCCTAATCATGGTCAAATCATCAAGATATGTCTTCAGTTTCCAGTTATATGTACCATTGGCTTATGTTCATAGTGGTGTGTACCCAAATTCCATTTGTCATATGGTGGGAGCCGGCAAGTTATCAGACAATGATTCATGAGAAGTTTAATCCAAAAGTCAGGATCATTAGGGTCAGGGTTTCAAATTATACTCCTTTGTGAATTTGTTTTCCCGGAGATTTATTCGTACAGAGCCAAGGTGGTTCATGATTCTTTTGATCGGAATTCAGAGGTTATCTCATTCAGATGACTGCTCAGTGGTAGTTGTGTTTCTTGAAACTTGTAAAAAAAAAGTAGTGTGAGATTTATTTCTGGCTTTCTTGTCCGCAATCCATTTTCTATCCATCATTATCCATTTTTAAACTTTTTCTTCTTAACCCATGTTCTTAAATTTACGCTTCCAATTTCCAATATCCAATTCTTATTATTCTTTTTTTTTAATATTTTTTTTATTTCTTTTTTTTCTTTCAAAAAGTCCATTTGATATCCAATTTCCATTTTGAATCCATTTTTAACCTTTCTTCCTAAAGTCCATAACTTTTTCTTTATCCATATTTCCCAATTACCCATTTCACGTCCAAATTCAGTCAAATCCAACATTATCCATTTTATTAACTAAGTTCCAATTTCATTTTATGTGTTCTATAATTCATTTCAATTCTCCTAATCACTTTCTTTTTATTTTTATTTTTATTTTTATTTTTTAGCCATTATTTTAACTACATCCAAATTCTCAAATGTTTCTTTTTACCAAGTTGGATCTTCTTTTTATTTTTATTTTTATTTTTTAGCCATTATTTTAACTACATCCAAATTCTCAAATGTTTCTTTTTACCAAGTTGGATCAAAGCCCATAATCTTTTTTTTGTGAATAAGTTACAGCCACAAAACATATATAGAGGGAAAAGACCCATTGTCCATTTTGTTACAAAAAAGCCAAATTACAAAAAAAACACACACTCCATAAGTCCAAACTACAATAAAAATAACCATAGGCAATCACGCCATATACAGTCTACATCAAGCCATTACACCTACGCACAACTGTACTGCCTGTGAAACCACTTGTACAATGCAACCACAAGACCACGACAATTACCCTGCTACAAGCCACAACAAAGTTTTCTCCAGCCACTACAATACCAAAGCCACGCGAATCCTGTAACAGGTACCAGCACATAATCTTGCCTTCAAAAAACCTGCACAAAGGAATGGACAAAAACAAAAAAAGAAAACATGTACCATTTCAATGAGCAACAGGGGCATCATGAAAAAATGACAATAAAAAAGACACACAGGATTTCTGAATCTAAAAGGCAACATGCCACATAACCAAAAAATAGAGGCATCACGATAAAAGAAGAGGAGGCTTCAACCCATAAAGAGGACCCTTTCGAGAGAATTCCTTTTTTTCATCTTCTATTCGCGAAAAAAAAAAAACCAACGATACGATAAGCAAAAGATCCGTTCTGCAGAATCATTCACCTATTCCTCAGCTTTCTTCATTACCCTTAACATAAACAAACAAACTTCAATCCCATATCTTCTCCTTCAAAACCCAAATCCACAATCACACTAAAAAACCCACAGCCCAGATTGAAATCCCATAAACAAAACCAGAGAGAAGAATTTGAGAAGGAGAAACCGAGCAA